ATATGTTTATTATGAATTTTGGCTAAGTGATAGGTAGTGATAGATATATATATATATATATAAATGTTTTTTAAATCACGAGTTCTCATAAAAATGCGAGTTTATTTTATAGAACATAATTAGCTTCTTCATACATTAATTAAGTAGTTTAGATATTACGCCTTTATTTTAAAAGTGACACAACTTAAAAGATTAAGCTTCCCAAAAAAGGGAAAATCTATTTTTCATTCAGTTTAAGAGAAAATTATTGATTATTCAGCAAAAAGAATACATTGTTAATGTGATCAAATGTCATCATTTTTGTTATTTTCATTTCACAACCCTTAAAAATTCATCTTTTTTTAATTATAATCATTTGACGATTTTTTATGAAATTAAATTAAGCGAATTCGACTAATGTATTCAGATCACAGCTATCATAACCAGATTGACATAAAAATATGTGTATTATAAATACAGAAATCGTGAAATATACTCCTCAATATACTTTATTTTGCTGTTAGATAAAATATTTGCTGTTAGATAAAATATTTATATATAAAATAAGAAAACAAGTAATTCGCTCGATATTACAAATACAAAAATTAAATGAGTAGATAGATTTTTTTAATGACATCGAATACTAGTTAATTGTGAATAAATATGAGATAATACACTAGTTTAAAATCTTTCCTCTGCTCGTTTTTTTACCTATCTACTCATTTAATTTTTATGTATTTTATAATTCGAAATATTCTATTTTTACACTCACAATCAGATTAAGTCGCTACAATGGCTTTAATGTGCGCAAATGCGCAGTAGTGAGAATTTGCGAGTTTTGATTGATAGGAAACGTTTACCTAACTTATCTGGAGGCATGATAGTGTCTCGGCGCTAAAATATCTATTCATACTCTGGCAAAAATCGGAGAGTAATTCGAATAAAAAGGGGACAGTAATAAAAGAGTAAATGAAATTTCTAGGAGACAAAAATTGAAATAACGGAGAAAAGACGTGTATGCTTTTTCTATATTTCGTTATTTCAATTTTCGTTTCCTAGCTTCGTTTACGCTTCTGTTATATTCCCCTTATATTCGACTTACATTCTGATTTTTATTCTTTTCACCAAGATGGTAACAACTCGAAATTACGTTTTTTTTTTAGTTGTGTCACTTTTGACGTAAGGGAACGATATATTTGAGATATTGACATATTTACCTTTCGGTCTCTTAGGCACTCGTCCTTGCTTTTTGATCGTGATCGATGGAGTTTTCAAGATGCTCTCGTCGTACGACTTTAAACGAAAAAAATTGTAATAGTATTTTTTTACTCCTGACTTCCACGTGAAATTCACGTGCGACACCTCGCTTGGGATAATCGGCAGTTTATTCTCAAACTCCGGATCTAAAAGATAAGCGAGTACTCGGCCTTCCGCAATCGCGTATATTTCCATTGCAAGCCCTGCATTAGCCAAAAATAGTTTCAGTTTTACATTAATGTTTACTAATTTCTAATTATGAACGTAACCCATGATATCGTGAATAGTAATCGGATTTCTCTCATTTTTACTTATTTAACGACATTTTTTGCATCATAGCAACGTATCAAAGGTAATGTCTCAAATGGAGAATCGCTGGAGCAGCGATAATACGAAGAAAGGGGGTCATATATGAAGCTAGAGGGGGAAGAAAATAAGAAATCCGACTTCCGAGAGGATTTTGAGACTCAACATCTGTGAACTGTACCGCTGAACATCTTAATTTGCTGCTGATCGATCCAGAGGGAGATGTCACCGGACGGTTTGTGGCCGGAATTCCCAGAGCGATGTTGGTGCCGGGCAAGGGCCACGCCGGCGACGTCCAGGAGAAGGGCCAGGGCCAACATCGCCGCCGCGGCCAGGACGGCCGCAGCCGATCGCATAATTGCCCGCGACCGCGACGTCCCGGTCAGTACCGTCGCCGCAGCCGCTGTCGTCGTCGTCGTTGTCGTCCTCCTCGTCCTCCTCGTCGTCGTCGTCGTCGCCGTCGCCGCTACCAGGTGTTACACGCACACCGGTGTGAGGAAGCCCGTCCCTTCGACCTTCCCCGGCAACCGCCGTGCGTGCACTGGCAGTTAACGAGCAACGTAAAACGTTCCTGGCCGCCTCGGCCTTCCTATATAATTCAACGTGCCGGCGTGCGTGCGGCGTGCCGTTGGCGATCCGACGCGTGAAATCGGAGGATTTGAGATTTCACGGAGCGCGCGCACGGGACACGATCGCGCGGCGGAGATACCGGTGATCCCGCGGTGATTTCAACGCACGGTTGTCTACCCCCTCGATCGGTAAAACAGAAAGAGAAAGAGCGAGAAGGAGAGAAAGAAAGCGGGTGAAAAAGGGATGAAAAAAGGAATGAGAGAGGCGCGCGAACTTTCCTCTCTCGCTTGCGAACGGCGCAAGCGGCGATGTGTAACGATGCGCGCGAACCGCGTCGCTCCGGTGGACTGACTGACTGACTGACTGACTCTCAATGAGAGTCGGGGCACGCGGAGCGAGTAGCGAAACCTCTCCGTGAAGCGAGATAGAGATCTCGCAGACGGACCCGGGTCCCGTCGGGGAGCACCGGGGAGCGAGAACGATGCGCCGCGAGTTAAGGCTGCGTGCACAATGTATTCGGAATCTGCTTTGCCAATCTCCCCTCCCCCCTACTTCTCTCTCTCTCTTTCTCTCTCTTTCTCGCACACATACACTGTATGCTTTTTATTTTAATGCTTAAACTCGGTTTAGACGATCTACAATTTGCGGCGGAATTCGAAATATAATGCTATTTATAATTTTATCTGCTGTGTATTTTTTAATATGCATTTTGCAATATGCATGTATATGTGCATTTTAATTTTTTTAATGTTTGTTGTACTACACGATATATAAAATTGTAATTAAGATTCTGTGTTCCTGAATTCCGATGTAAGCTATATATATGAGTTTAGCATTTAAATGAGTTTTTGATATATAAAGTAACATCGCTAATTAGAATTAAATTTTTTCATTGATTAATTTTGTGTTTAATAATAATTAATATTAGGGAAAAATTAATGAGGATCGTAAATGCGAAAAGTAAGGAATGAAAGTAGTAAGTTTGAAAGTGAATCGAATATTCATTTCAAATTAAACCGATCTTTGATATGAAAGATTTTATGGAACGTTTACTGTTGTACAAGTTTCTTTTAATATATTTGTGTTAATTCAGATTTATTTAGCCACTGCGCGCACGCAATTTTAAGGATGCAATTTAAAAAATTTGTTTAAATATGTTACACGTTCGTTTTTAAATTAAATTGTCATATAGTTTTTATAATTTCCTAATTTGACGTTTTTTTCTTTCCTTTCGAAATATCTGCCTGACTTCACTCGTCTTTTCTTTCTTTCCTACAATGAATCGAATTGAAAAAATATATTATATTTATTTATCCGCAAAAAAAAGAAAAACGGAACGTTACAGTTTGTAACGTGATCTGTTTTTTTTTCCAAATAAGTATATTTATGAAATCACATTTACATTTCTCGTAACTATTTACATAACATATTGACTAATTCCTTTTAATCTTCAGAAATCGTGCAAAACAAATTTGTCAAAAGTAGTATACGTACAAATACACAGAAATCAAAATTCGAATTAACTAAGAAAAAGTGATAAGAAATCTCGATGGAGGGAACCAGTTTTTTAACATCTTTCATCCGATCGTGCCGGTTCTCTGTCGTCTCTCCTGCTCATCTCTTGTGTTTCCCTTCTCTTCCATTTCTCATCTCGTCGACAATTGAATTTTACTTCCGTGTCGTAAATCCGCCACGTCATACGCATCATTATTCTGTTCGATGTTTAAATTATTGTAAACATTTCTGCATATAAAAGATTGATCCAAGTTACAAAAATAAAAGATGAAGAAAATTGTAATAAGTAGATATTATTTGAACATTGAATATAATTGTAATAGACAAAACGTTTCTTTAATATACAATATTATTGTAATTTTACATACATATTTTCCTTGTTTGAAGGTTATTAATTTTTTATTTTTATTATATTTCTTCTGCCATTACATTATACATTCGATATTCACGAATTTATGATTCGCAGTAATTCTTGCAGCGTAAACGCGTGAAAAATTTACGACAAAGCAAAGAGCTTTTTGAGACTGATAATAAAGTTTGCATTCATCGATAATCGGAAATAACTGGATCAGATCTATTTCTAAACCGATCTGGCAAGATAACCGGCTTCAAGAGAGGCCTCAATGAATAACCAATAGTATCCGTTGTATCCCTGGTGTCGAGGGATGGGCTATCTAACAAGTGGTCCATTGTTATCCTACGTTTCTGTCTCTCCCATCTCTCGTCTTCTTCCTGCTTCTTCTTTCTTCTTCCGGTACATGCACTACGATCGTGAATATTCCGAAGAGACCTCGAACCGTCGCAAATTTTTGAGCCACATTCTGAAACGTTGTAACTAAAATTTCACCCATATAAAACATTCGACGCTGTCTTTGCGACTATCACCTGTAAAAATAATCTGCAATAAAAATCTAAGTTCTTTTAAGACTTATCTTGTAATTAGCCCATTAGCCCTGGAGAATCTAGAAGCATATTTTCATTTTTATGAAAAAAATTAAACTTTGAATCGCATTATTTTTTGCTTTTATTCGTTTTTCAGTCGGACAATTTTATGAAGAAATATAAATTGTTTATATTGATAAAATGTTCTATCCAGGAATTTAAAAGTATATTTCGGTTCCTTTAAAAAAAAATTAAATTTAAAATGACAATACTGTGTTTGCTTTCGTTCATCTTTCAGTTGGAAATTTGTATAATATTGGAAATTGTATAATATAAAACATAAATTTTACATTGATGTTATGATTTTCTATATCAAGCAAAGAGATATCACAGATATATTTTTAAATAATTTTATCTTCGTAAAACTTTCGATATTATCTTTGTGCGATTATCATTTGCAAAAAATCTAAGACGACTGGTATTTTCCAATCAATCTTTCAAACCGCAAGAATTTATGAATACCTGTTTATTTCTCCTATCAAAAGGAAAAATTAATTTAGGAACAGTATTATGAACAGACTAATGTTTGCTTTTGTTCGACTTTCAGTTAAATAATTATATGAAGAAATATATAAGTTGTACGTCCAGGACAACGTCATGATAACGTCAAAATTAAGACATTCATAAGATGAATTGAAAATGATTGAAAAATAACTTAATAATCATTTTGAAGTCATTTTGGCATCATTTTGATATCATAACGACTTGTCCTGCGTGTAAGTATTAGCAACCTATTGTAATTTTCAAGCAGAGATATTGCATAAAAATATTCCTAAATAATTTTATCGTCATAAAATGTTTGATATAATCTTCGTTAAGTATCGCGTCTGCAAAAAAGTCTAGCAACAAATTTGAGATAGTCTGATATCTTCTAATCCTTTTGAATTGCGAGAATATTGTAGAATATTTTCATCGCTTATACAAAAAAAAAAAAGAGAGAAAGGAGGTGAATTTCGAGTAACACTATTCTCGTTTTGATTTGCTTTTGTCACACAATTATATGACGTAAATTCGTGTATGTACGGTGCGTGATTCTACGCACCGCTCTCGGTGCAGCTCCGCGAGAGCGGCCGACAGCGAATTCAATTAGGATTGCGGCGGCCGTGCAAAAACATTCGATCAGGAATAAACCGGCGCTGCCTGCCTGCCTGCCTGCCTGCTTGCGGACGCTCTTATAGCTCGTCGCTTTCCAGTTCGCGAGCCCCATGTATAACGCGTATGGGATCGGAGATCAATCGTACGTTTTACCATCATGGACTCTTTCCGCGTGGCAGACGTAGTGATACACGAAAACGATTAAATCGTAACTATTGTTACGAATTTTTTTTGAAAATTCGAAAAAGACTAGCAAGATCGTTGATATTTGCTTATTTATATATTATATATTGAATTAAAAGGCTGTTTTTTGTTCAATTATTTTCTTCATATTAATTTAAAAAAAAATTAAATTTAAAATGACAATACTGTGTTTGCTTTCGTTCATCTTTCAATTGGAAAATTGTATAATATAAAATATAAATTTTATATTGATGTTATGATTTTCTATATCAAGCAAAGAGATATCAGATATATTTTTAAATAATTTTATCTTCGACATTATATTATTATTTAGATATTGTTTTGTAGTATAATTTATCAGTTTCGCTGTATTTCCGATTGTTCCAAAAATTTTCATTGGCTATGCAAAGTGTGCCTTTCACTGAACATGCCTCCTCTCTTGAAATGTGGATTCTTCAGTTAAAATTTTTTACCGATCTTATCTTAACGAGAATATTCACATTTTTTTCCAAATTCATCGTAGTCATAATATGTATACTGTTAAAAATATCAGTATAATATATTTTTAAGTTATATAAATTAAATTTAACTTCATAACATTAAATTTAATTATATTACATTAAATTTAATATATTTGTAACTGAAAAATATATTTGTGTGCATAAAATTTAATATATTTTTCATAAAATTTCATAAAATTTAATATACTTTCCATAAAATTTTATGTAGATTTGCATAAAATTTAATGCACACATCTATTACATTTAAGACTATTGTAACTTAGTTTTCAGTTAAATCATTTATTATTTTTCAGTTATTTCATTATTCACAAACTTTTTTTATTACTTAAATTCATAATAAAATTACTTAAATTCATATTACTTAAATTCATAATAAAATTTCTAACAATGTAGAATCAAGACATATAGTGTTTTGAATCAAATATACAATATCAAGTATATCAAAATTGTAGCAACCCCCATGAAATAACAATAGAGTACTTTTATTTAACATATCAAATTTTTTTTTAATTCCAACCGTTTGCTGTATTTATTTTTTCAATTATTTTTGTTATAGATTAATATAGATAATGTATTTCTATATAGATAAAAATTTTTCTTCTTTAAATTAGATAATTTTCACATATTGAATCTCAGACAATGATGGAATTGCAAGCTAAGATATTTTTGTTCGATGCTAAATGATATTGTGGCCGAGCGATCGAAGTTACCATTCGATGCATGCGTTCGTTTAACACAGCTATATTTCTGTGGACGCGGCTTGGATTGTGCCTCCCTTTAGTCTCCCTCGATCCTTTATTCGTCTGTAACCGCGACGAGGGAGAGGAAGAAAGAACTCGTAGTAGCTCAGAGAATACGGACGCAAAAAACCTGTCCGGCATAATCGCATTATCGGTCACATCTTGCTCGATTTCTGTGTTCACTTAGTAGAATTAAATCTGACGATTGTTCTGTTCTTAAGAGAGAGAATAATGTCCTCTCGAGAATAAATAAATAAAACTTGGAACAAAGGTGCTATCCAAACTTTCTATGAGAATAAAATGCGAAATACAAGACGAGAAGTACACGATAAAATTTTTTTTCGTTATTGTATATAACTAATAGTGTTTAATAATTTTAAAAATAATAATTTTAA